CCCTCCCTCCCTCCCTCCCTCCCTCCCTCTCTCACCCTCTCTCTCCCTCCCTCCCTCCCTCTCACTCTCACCCTCTCTCTCCCTTTGCTACCTCCCTTGTTCTTTTGCAACAGTCGACGCCGTACGATCTCAGCCTCCTTCGTGAGTTCATTGTCGATCGGAATGCCGATTTGATGATTCTTCAGGATCCATTCGTCAAGCGGCGTAATGTGACGATGCACTTCAGGGCCAGCACGTACGTTCCAGCTCATGCCCTGACTATGCCACTCAAGAGTTGGTCTTGGGACCGGGGAGGTTGTACTTGCTGGGAGACGCGATTGCCTCCTCTCATGTTGTATTCCACCCTCTCACGCTGTCCGTGTTTGTTTCTTCTTCAGATTTAACCTGTTCCGCTATGAGTGCGAACGGGCTCTTCGCATCCTCGGTGACGATTCTCCGGAAGCCTTGCAAAAGGTGAAATACCTGCCCTTCGAAAGGAGCTGCTCCACTCAGCCCATTGCGACCAGCTTCCGCTTGGCTCGACTGCTCTTAGACACAACCGCTGAGGCCAATCAGCCCACCCCCAGTGTGACAATCAATCCGAGCATGCGCGAGTGGAAGTTCTCCCCTCCGCGCAGTGCCATTCTGCAGAATCTCCGCCGGAGCCGCGAGCGGATCAACCTTCAGGCCTTTGAGAAGAGCCGCCTCTCCCCCTTAAACTGACAAACCCCCATCATGTGCTGCCCCCATGTTGTCCCCCCCCCCCCCCCCGCGCGGTGGGGATCGAAGGTAGGCGCAGGGAGGGTCGCCTGTATGCCGGGCTCGCGACCGTGCGCTCCCCACGCAGCCCGGAAATATACCCGCAATGGACAAGAAAAGAGAGTGGTCTCCTGATCGGCGGGTGGCGGATCTGTCCGTGTGATTCGCGATACGTGATCATCCCCTCGGGGCCGGCAGCCGGGAAAATGCGCCGTCTGTGTTCGTGGCCCCCCCCCCCCGCCTCCCCTACTCCCCTACTCCCCATGGGGGGAGGGGGGGGGGGCGGTCTGGGGCTCTCCACGACACGGGTCCGGGGAGAGGTCCCCCGGGGTGCCCGGGGCGCACTTTTCTTCGCCGTGCGGCGAGGCTGCCGATTTGAGCCTCCTCGCCAGGACCTACGGTCTGGGTCCCCGCGGTCGCCCCCCGTTTCCCATGACCGCACACAGCCCTCCTTCAAATTCAATTGGCCTGGCCGGGACTCCGGTCCACCGGAGCCTTCGATGGCTGGACTGCCGAGGCCCGGGACCAGCTGGCGCAGCGTCTCACCGACAAGTCCAGCCCCTCGCCTGATGTCGATCGGGCCACGCTCATGGCCTTGGAGCGGATGTCCTGAATTTCCCTCTGCCGCAATGTCGGAAAGATGTGCCCGTGGCCTCGGTATGTCCTCCCTCCGCCCCCCCCCCCCTCCCCTCCCTTCCTCCCATGGATCCCTGGCACGGTCCGCAGTCACATTGCAATACACGCTCGTCCACATACATATCCAGCCATCGAGGTTCGTATGCCTCCCTTGGGACGGGGCTCCCCGACCATCCGGCAGAGTGTCCATTCTCCGGTCTGCTTGCGCGCCGCCAAGCTCGAGCGCCAGCCAAGGGCGATTAGCCGGGACGCCGGGGCCCGGCGACCAGACATGGGCGAGGCCTCCCACCATTGGGGGTTTCTTACCGGCGGGCCATTTCTTCGCGATCGACCGGCAGCATCAGGCGCTCATCTCGCATGCGGTCGAGGGCCTGCAGCAACTTCGGGTCATACCCCTCGGCGGTGTGGGTGTCGGGAATCAAGTCGCCGGATACCGCGGCCTCCAGCGACCGAGCCCAATGGAGCTCCTGTCGTGACGGCGAGTCGGTCAGCTGGTCGTCCTCCAGACCGGCAGCCGCGTCGTACTCCCTTCGCAGGGACTCCCGCAGCCGATATCCCTCGGCCAGGCTCCCCTCAAAAAAGCGTGGCAGCCAAAGCTCCCGGGCTTCCAGCAGGGGCCGCAAGTCGGCAGCAGCCCCGGGCTCCGCGTCGCCATTCGTCCGCTGGGCGTCATCCTCCGGGGTTGGAGGGCGGCCGACTTCGGTGCGTGTGCGTGCCACCGGGGCCGACATGTCCCCGGAGGAGGCCACCGGCGGATTGCCATTGACCTGGGGGTCCGACTGGGCCTGCTGCTCCGTGCGGCGGATCTCGCTGGCTTGGGCCGTGCGTGCGACGCGTAGGTCGCGCTGGTGGTTTTCCACCAGTGCCTTTGCCTCCTCGGCCGCGGTGAAGTCCCCCTCTTGCAGGGCCCGGGTCAGGTGCTGCCAAATCCTCTGGGACTCGTAGGGATGCTGCTCGGCCGGGGCGGGCACCGCCTTCCGGGCCAGGGGCTCGATGGCACTGTCGAAGCGAATGGGCACCCCGCATGAGGGCTGTGTTGCCGGTGGGCCGGCCGGCCGGCCGGCCGGCCGCCGGATGTCGTTAGTCAAGCACTTGGGCTGTGGCCTTCTCGATGTTTGGGCATGTGGTGTGCGAGTGGTTGGCGATGCCAGCTCGACCGCACATTCTTGAAGGTGACCGAAAAGGCCCGGTCCCAGCGGCCGCCGATGCGCGCTTCGGTCGAAACAATGCGCGCTTCCTTGTTTAGGACGAAGCTGATATCTGTCAGGGCTTCGGGCGGCTGGTAGTGGACTATCCGGCCGATGGTTCCGTCGATGCGTCCGGGCGTGCCTCCGAAGAGGGGCTTCGCGCGAAAGCGGACCTCCGTTGCCAGGCGAGTCTCCGGGCAGATGACATACGCATCGTCGCAGAGCTCCATGCTCAGTTGCCCAATGAGCAGGCCACGGACATAGTAGTTCGGCAGCGACGCGAGATACGTCTGTGCGGCAGCCGGCCAATCGGAATGGTCGCATGGGTGGGGGGGGGGGAGTGTATGTGGGTGAGCATGTGTCTTTGCATGTCCGTGTGCCCGTGTGCGTGTGTGTGTGTGTGTGTTTGTGCTCTCTGATGGGTCTTCCCACACGCATGCCTCCCGACAGCCATGCGCAAAGACATGGGGTTGTGGGCAATCCACCAGCATCCCAGTGTGGTGTGGAAGGGAGCGCCCATGCACAATGGCCCCGACATACGGTCCCCCGGGGGACCGTATGGGCCACCGTTCCTGCCTGACAATGGCGCCCAAGTTTCCCGGGTCGAGTGTTCCCCTGGAAATGGCGCCCCCTTGGCGTACCTCCCCACGTCGGCCGAGCGTGACCCTGGAAAAGCCATTCATGATGGAGGTGGCGGAGTTGCCGAGAAACTTGGACTTCGGCCCAACCACCCCCTCAATGGAGATGTTATACCGCGGAATGGAGTAGAAATAGGCGCTGGCTGGGGGATGATGGCTGACTTGCTCGGAAAGGAAGAAAGCCCTGGCCCCGCAATCGAGCTTCCACTGGCATCGGTAAAACTCCCCGAGCACCGGGTTGTAGGGCTTCTTCGGGGACTGTTGGAGCGGGGGTGAGCACAGTATTCTGGCACCGACAGCGGCGAGGCGCGGCGCTGTCTGGTTTTTTTCCGTCCTTTTCTCTTCTTTCCTCTTTCTTTCTCTCTCTCCCCCCCTCCCTCTCTCTCTCTCTCTCTCGATCCCCATGCAAAAGACGCACATCCGGACGAATGTGAAAGCCGGAGAGTACGAACGTCGCCACCCAGGCGATACGCGTCACCGGGTCCTGCTCATTCAGGGCGCTGGACATGGAGTTAGAGGGTCGTCCTTCCCCCCCGCCCCCGCCCCCCCC